GCCCTGCCACCAGGCTGGGTGCTGACACCCGGCGCCTGCCAGCCTCTCTCACTGCAGCTGATTTTGAATCACTCATGGTGCACATCAGTAGTTAGGTTTGGCAATAATGGTATTGGGGGAGACTAGGGACCCATTTTCCCCCCCCACAGAAAATGCAGCAGTGACATTAGTGCCATTACATATATGCTACTGCTGCTTTCACAGCTAGAGGACTTTTTATCCCAGTTGAAACTCAGCCTGACTCAAACCCTGCTCCAAAGAGCAATGTGGTGTACAGCCTACAATCAAATACAAAATAAAGAGAAGCCGTAAGAGGAAGCCCCATGTGTGATCAGGAACCGAGAAAAACACTGCCAGGCTGCCTCTCCAGAGACCCACTCACTGTCAGAGCTCACCTGCCCTGGCTGCCCCACGGCCCTCGGGTGAAGGGCGCTGCCCTCCAGGCCCCCCGCCAGGGACCAGAGGCCTCTCCCCGCACTCTGTGCTTGCCTCCACGCTCTGCACCAGCAAGCATCTGCCAGCAACAAACTATTTAAACAGCTTTCACGATCTGAGCATGGCTCTGTTCCTAGAAACTCTGGCTTGATACAGTATTTAAAGCCAAAGACATCTTGACTCTACCAAGTGGAACTAAATCATCTGTACAGCCACTACTATGATGATCCTTTAGCCACGTCCTCATTCCCATTGTTACCTTTGTTAGCATCCAGTGAGCTCAAACACAAGTTACAGCTGCATACGTAAAATAGCACATAACATTTGAAACAGCAAGAATTCCTGCTGTCAGTGTGAAAACGATAAATGAGCGTGCTGCTCTGCAAACAAGTGCATTCATCTGAAAGGAGAGCACTGAAACTAGAGCTGGTTTTCAAGAAAAAGCAAAAAACCACATCATTTGGAGGAAATGCTTAATCAAGTCTGCATTTTAGAAAACTTCCCATTAAAATTTTGCCTTAAAATAACAAAATGAAAAAAAAATCAAAAAAGAAAATAGAATCATTTCCATGAAAATTTTGCATTTCTTTTACTACGGGGGAAGGGAGCAAAGCATCAATATCTTTTAGGGGAAAATCATGTCTGACATTTAGCAGACCAGTCTCTGATTTGCAAAACCCTCTTTTTTGCTCTTTTTTAAGAAAGTGAAATTGTCTCTCAGGAGAAAATGCTCAAACTTTGCAGCATTTTTCTGCCTGTAAATTGCCACGTTCTAAAGGAAGAAAAAAGCCAAAGAATACATTTTTCGCTATTTCAAGTTTTACATACCAGAGATGCAATCACGGCTCCTCCTCAACTTGGAAGTCCTCTTCCACTGGCAAAGCAGGCAGAGGCAGCCCTCCCAGCAGCTCCCCTTGCTCATTCCCACACCAAAGGGCAGCACAGGTCGGGAAAGCTGAATGTCCTGGCAGGACTCTGCATCTTAAGAGTGCAGAGGGCCCAGTGCAGAGCGCCAGAATGCTCTTTGCGTGCGTACTGCTCCTACGCCTGCCTGGCTCAGGTGTAATCCTGACAGCTGTTAACACAAACCCGTAGCTAGGATTGCACTATAAAATACTATTACAAAAGCCTGGCTGTCATTATCAAACAGAACTCAAAGCAAGAGGGCCTGCAGTTGCCCAGGATCTTCTGCAATTCTTCATTTGAAAATATTATATGCGACAATTTATTTTGGATGCATAAGACTATCAAGGTATCCTCTTGAAGATGAAGTATCAGACAGATTTTCCTGAAGAGGACTTAATTTCTTCTTTTATATTGTATAAGGTTTCTGACAAAAAAAGTCTGCAGTTGTCTCCCTCCTCTCAAAAAATGCAGTTATACTTCACTAAGAGAGACTCCTGTGGTCAGATTCGTACTGAGCTACCCTTTTGATGAACCAATAGGTTTTCTGCTTTTGACAGATTCTTTATCAATATCAAAGACATTAAGAATTTTTCACCACAATTAAAAATAAAAGTTAGCTGAAATTAAGAATTCAAATTAAAGAGTTCAATTATCAGAATGATTAAAACATTTATTGCTTCTGTAGATTTGAACTTCCTTACAGGTTTTATGGTCATGTCACTGTGATGTTTTCCCTCTGTCACAACTGGACCTGTCCTCTCAAATCCTGCCCTTAAAGTTAGTATGTGCTATTGGTTCTCCAACACAAACTAGGGGTTTTTTTCATTAAATACTCTAAATTCATGGGGTTTACAGTTCCTTTAATATGGCTTTTTTAATAAAGACAAAAGTTTGTGTTGGAGCAGTAGCAGATAAAACAGGGGTTAGAAATGCAGCTGTACCAATCTGAACAGGGGAGAAATAAAAATATATGTATTTTTAAAAAATAATAATAATTACACTTAACTCACCATCAAGACAGAGCTGTAAATTATGGATTAGCTGCCCTTGATCCAACATAAACATTAGGAGCAAGCTGTGCTATGCAGGGGAGGGAAAAAGAAACAATTGTGGCATGTTTTAGATCCCCTGAGTCATCTTTCCTGGCAGAGGGTTGAGTGAGTCAAAGCTGCTGTGTAGGAAGCAAGAAGATGGAGGTGGGCTGAGCTGGCTCAGCATTGGCTGTGTCTTGTCAATAGGACTTTGAAAAGGGATGCATCAAAGCTGATACATCATTAGTCTTTTGGACCATGTTATAGGAGAAGTCATGCTGTCTGCAGAATATGCCTTCGGCCATGTGCTTGCTGGGGTACCAAGCTCTTTTCTCTGACTAAATGCATTGTACAAAATGACAAAGTTGTACAGCTGTGAAACTTCCTTTAGGTCAACTTCACAATGCCAAACACGACTTTAATTAAAAGCATAGTATATACTGAATGTTCATCATTTGAGATAAAGAGGTACAGCTCTGCAAGTCTTCACCATGCCCAGAACAGATAAAACCTGGACTGAGGCATAACTATATTAGAAACAAACATTACTAGATGGATTAGGAGTCAGATATGAACCTACCTCAATCTAGACTGACTCATGTTGAACTGTAAAAATAGGTAACATCAACTGTGGATCAAAGCTGCTCATCTAAAGGAACTACAGAGAGCATGCTAGCATGCTAAGCACCCATGGAAACGTCCATTTCTGGGTATAGGAAAAAGGTACTTCACACACTTGGAACACTTCTTGAGTTCCCTGAAAAATAAATGAGCAATGACTTCTAATACTTCCTTCAGCACATCTTCGGAAGGGTCGTTATTGTTACAAAATAGGCATTTTGCCTTTGTGCACTGAGGCAAAGCACAGAACCCCAAAAGCTGTCTCAAAGCAAGCTATTCACATAATACAGTCCAGCAAGGGGTTCCCTCAGTTCCCAAGAGCAATACAGTGACAGCAGCACATGCTGTCTTCCATATCCAGCTGCAGCCCTACACAGATGTGCTTTTCACAGCTCTCACTTCAAAACGTTGTATCAGGTTCTATACTACAGAATACATGTGACCTCAGTTTATTAAAGCAAAAAAATCACCAGTAGCCATCACCCTTTTCTTCTTCTAAACCTATTAGGATGAAGGGCGGGGGAATAAAAGTATGAGAACCAGGAGGAATCTCTCCATCATGAAAGACACTTTATCATTCCTTTCCCAAATCTCTTATTTTGCCTCCCTGTTGCAGCTGGGAAAGCAACTTAGCACAGCGTAAAAACTGAAGGCACGTAAAACATGCACAGAGTGCTAATTGCCTCAGAGCAGATCACTGACACTGAAGATGTGCATAATCAGGTAAATCCTGCCACTACATCAATTTTAGGACATACAGGGGCAGGGCATTACCATAAAGATAAATCATAACACACTGAAGCCTTTATTTGTAACGAAGTCTTCTAGCAAAGAGGCTATAAACACCGACTGTAAGACATTAAATGTATTACTTCTGTTTAACCATGTGGTATTGTATTATATGTAGCTACTTACATAGAAGGCAATAAAAGCCATATTCAAAAGACACTTAAAAAATACAGGTTAATTATTTTTAAAATTGTATCATTTTAAGGTGAGGCTGTGCCTCGATTTGGAGAGGAGACATTGCAGAGAATATGTGGTACAGAGGACACACAGCCTGTCAGTAAAGGAGGCTGTGCGTAACGAAGTCATGTTTGTACTCTCCTACTAGTGATTCATGCCAAGTGATAGAATGGCCTCAGAATAATAAAGATAGCTAGTCTGCAGTATGCATATGTATTTCTCTATGAATAAATAAATCCTCTTTGGTCTTTGAAGGTTTGTGGAAAACAGCTTTTTTTAAATAATTTAAAAAAATAGGACATGAACTAAATTCCTCTGAAACCAGGGAGGTATTTGAAGAATAAATTATTTACCTCATACATAATCACAAATCTTAACTGAGGTGGGCCCAGCTCTTGTTTACAGAAAGACGAACAAAATAACTATTTCACAAAACATGTTTCTGGAGAAAGTTATAACCCCCAACTGGCTAAGATTTCATACTCCAAGGGGTAGGACTCTAGAGGGGTGACAGACCACTCCTAGAGCTGCTGCTGCTTTGTGTTCCATCACAGACACCCCTCCAGTAGTCAGCATCCCAACTGTCAAACAGACCATTAGAAAGTACAAATTAGACAGCCAGAGTGTCCTGAACTGAATGCATATGGACCATGAATTACGTGCTAAGCTGGCATTAAAAAAAATTTAACTCCATTTACTGAAATGAAGCCATGCTGACCCTTTGTCCTCAAAAGCAAATACATTAAAAAAAAGAAGGTAGCTAACAGTGTAGAAGGTGAAATACTGTTGCAGCACTATACAGAGCCAATAGTATACCAATCAAAGTAGTACTCACATGCTTTCATTCCTGCAAAATGTAAGAAATATTGATATGAGAATATCTACTTGTCTATCCATGAATAAATGCAGCAGACAAACAGAGCAAAATGAGCAAGACTCAAACAGTCAAAGCCTGATGGCTTCCACTGAGTAAAAAAATCCCATTTGCTTTTCCAAAACACAATCTGTATAATAATGCAAAACCAAGTTGTCTTCCCTTACCTTCAGCAAAAGGTTCCCATTCATAAAATCGACCCATAAATGGTTTGTTATTGTATGATGCACACTGCACCTCTCTAATATTTCTGCTGCTTTCGGGACACATCTGTTTAAAAAAAAAAAAACAACAACAAGACAGCCACATTATAATCAACAGCAATGTTATTATTGCTTTCTTATCAATTCAGTTTAGAAGGTTAATGAAGGCATTGCCAAATTCTAATCCAGGTGAACAATATGAAGACCAGGAGACTCCTTTTCTTTAAAACAGGCAATAAACAGTGTGCTTTTAAGTAACAGTATCAGAAGTGCCTGTAGAAAAAAATGAGTTTGTGGAGATCATGGAGCAACAGTTCTATAAAAAAGTGAATTTTTTATTGAGTTGTCATTTTCCTCAGCAAAAAGACAACACTTCAAGATAAATTCAGTAAATTAGATCCAAATCATTTCCTTTCCACAATAGCTTTGCATTCTTCATTATTAATTTTCTGGGCTCAGATTCAATAGAGTTGAAATATTTAACATACATGCTTCTATAACTTATTAAAAGCTGGCCACAACAACTTCTTATTCTCATCCTATGTTTCATTACCATATTATCACTTTATTATTATTATTATTATTATTATTATTATTTCTACATACTGCTATTAGAGTCATTGTATTAATTTGTATTTTAACTTGAGCCTTCAAATGGTAGCTTCAGAGTTTTTGAAGATAAATAGTGGGAATTGCTTCTTATATACAAGCGTACACACACATATTGAGGCAGGGCAAGTTTTACAGATAGAAGTAACATCTTTTATTAGGTCACTTGCAATGAAAATTGGCAGTCGAGCCTTGTTTAGATGTGAAGCAGATTCCAAAAGTAAATACAAGTTAAATACTTAAATACTTAATTACTTTGTTCTGTCTGTATCCTCACACTACGGCAGTTACAGCAAAAGACTACTCTGTGTGTGGGCACACACAGAGGGGAGAAAGATTTCTAAAAACGGCAGGGGATTAATTAGAATTGCTATGCTTGGAGAAAATAGACAAGATCTGGTCACATGCATTTTTTCAGGTAGCCTTTTGATGATCAAAATGGCTATTTAAAACACTATTCAAAAACAGTAGAAACCACATGAAGAACTGGACTGAAACATCAGCATATTTACTGTATAGGAGACAGAATTTTTTCTATTTCAAGGGAAAACTACAGACTATTATATGAAAGCAGCATGGCTAAATAACTGGTTCTGAAGGGAACAGCAAGAGTATCGGTTAGAATAGCTCTTGTTGCAACTGCAAGTCTGTTCTCTTATATTTGTATAGGGGAAAGATTGGTCATCTCTGCAGTGAAAGTCAGCACACCAGAGGTCCCAGAAGAGTTCTTGCTTCATATCCACCATCTATATATGAAGATGTTTGTAACTGGATCAGTGAGACATCAAAGTCAAGAGTTTCCAAGTGGGCTATAAACTGTACCAAAGACATGCCTGGGGGAAGGTTCACAGACTACTTTATCTTCTATTAGAATCACGTAACAAATCTTCTAGAATAAACACTGTTTCTGGCCAAACAGCCATCTGTGATTTGTTCACCCATCCTTCAGAGATCTCAAAGTATGTGCAAATATTGTTTTCCTGAACAAACCCTCTAATAAAAAAAACAAGCAAAAAAGCTTCCCTGAAAATAGGACCGTGAGCCACCAAACTACATTGGGAGGGTTGGACCAAAAGTCTTTCTAGTGCCAAAAGCAGAAAGCAAAGCTATATTCCCACAACTGAAATACACACCCTTACATCTGTGACACAGAGTGCATCAAGGGTAATGCAGCCACACCAATGAACTAAGCAAGGCTAGGAAGCTTACACTCTTCATGGAAACCAATTACAGCACATATCCTAAAGGCGAGAGGACAGAACCTGAGCTGGCAGAAATTAAGGTCACTACATTAAATTACAGCAGAATGACATCAGTCTGCACCAGCAAAGAACCCGCCTGAAGGGTTTCTTTTTGGAACGCCTTTCCCCTTTTTTTTTGGCACATGTTTTCTGACAGTCTTATTGTGAAGTTTTGTTTTTTCTAGCTTTTCCTTCTCTGAGCCTTGAGCTCGTGCTCTTGTGTACCAGTATTTCTGGCTCATAAACCATTTCCTGTATACCCCGTTCATACCAACTGCAGACAACATATGAATAAAAATATCAAAATATTCATTGCTGTTGCCAAAAAAATAGTGACACCCACCCTTTCTAAGATGATTTTTTATATAGCTACAATTTCTGGTTTTAAACGTACTGAAAGTTGCCCACAGGACAGAGGCCCCATTGCTTTAAAGCAGGACAAAGGACCGACAAATACACTAAACACTGCGTGGATCAAGCCAAAATCAGAAGAAAAGGCTAACTCAGTAATGTCCCTGCTACTTTAAAAGTCCCAACTCAGTCATACTTCCTCCGTTCCTTTCATCAAAGTTTAATTACAAAGTAAAATTTTGAGTAAAAATTTGAGTGAGTCATCTGGACTGCAAAAACTCTTTGCTTTATTCTTTATACAGATTATACTCAGCTTTATTTCTAAATGTATTTTAAAAATATTTTATGAAAGAGTTAACTACAAGGTGCAACTAGTTAAACTTACTATAGCTTATGAATCACCAAGGCTTAGAAGTTATACCATAAGTATATACTAGTTAACATCTATACATAATTTATTAATCGCACCTAAATTCTTACTGCATTGCCAAACAAAATCACAGTTTTATGCCACCTACTGCTTAGCTCCCCAAAAATGAAATCCTTGGGCCTTTCTCAGAAGAGCCAAGAGCACCAAGCACTTTCTCTTGGCATCTCTGGCTTTTTAGGCAGAAAATACATAGTTATCATTGAAAGAAAAAAGCACGACCCTGCACAATTAAAAGTGAAACTTTAACATAGGGGTTTCTGTAGATCCTCATTTTTTTTTTCTTCCCTGAGAGGACAACCCACTTTTACACTATCATTTAATTACTATTTCTGTCACAAACACATAGAGCTTGACTATAAAACTCCTAAAAGACAGCAACGAGCATCAGTGACTAAAGATGACAACCCCAAAGAAAGCTTCTGTTTCCAGTGTCTGACAATTGTACCTTAGGGAGTTCATCATTTGCTTGCAGCTCAGGCCAGTGGCTGGGAGATACTGGAAGAGGACTGAGGACAGAGCCAGGCTTCCCCATAGCACCATGAGGCCTGCAGCGTGCGGCAGGTCACACCTGGGCTCGGCTCCCAGGCTCTGCCCGCAACAGCGTCCCGACACCCTGCCTGGCCCTCTGCCAGGCGAATTTTGCTTTGAAAAGCAGGCATGTTGGCATGTTTACAGATGAAGAATGTTCCTGTGGCTAAGCCAGAGTACTAGGATTTAAACAACCTGGATCTCTTTCCAAAATCTCCCAGAGGCTTTCGGAATGAACTTTGCTGAAATATTTAACCTTACTGTGTGATTCCCCCTCCGTAACATGAGGGCATTAGGATCGTGCTGACTGTTAGGGACTTGAAAACAATTTTTTTGAAAACGAAATGTTGATTTTGATTCATTGTTTTGTTAACAACAGATCTGGAATTTCATTTTTTTCCTCAAAAACTTCATAAAGGTTTTGATATAAAAACAGGATGACCTCTCCAGACATGGGTAAATAAAGAAACAAAGTCTCCTTTTTAAACCAGGTCTGTGGAGGCCAGATGAGTAAAAAATATATGCTGCATGTACTAAGATAAATCTCAGGTTCCATCGTGTAGAGGTAGACATAATTATCTAGAAAACTACACTCTATGCTGGGAGAGGCTTTTTAAATCATTATTCTTTCAGTTGTGCGCTATGAAATTAGAAACAGCATCTAGAATCCATAATTTTACATGGGTTTAGATGATGTCTCTGAACTTAAAATATGCTGCTTGGAAAAACCAATGCTGTAAATTAAACATGTAGGACTTTATTCAGCTAAGTACTTGCAAAATGCTGGACATTTTCACACCAGGTAAGACTTTTCCACTGCTGCACTTTGATGCGGCTGTTTCAATAAGTATCTCAGCCAGCTTGTCTTTCTGTGCTTTCAGAATGTGGAATTAACAGCAGCAGCACAGCTCTGCATTGATGAGGCTGGCTGTGCTTAAGACAAAACATTTTAGAAGTATCCCTTTGTGTTTTGGGACCGCAGGCCAAATTTCTTGAAATGCACTGTGTCTGCAGTTGATAGAAACTTTGAACTTCTGAAACAGTAGCTTTATTTATGCCTCAATTTCATCTGAGAAATGCAGGTATGAAAGTATTCTGAGGGACAGCAACACACAGTACTTCTCTTTGTCATGTACCATTACAGCTTTCTTAAAATGAGCTGCAAGTACAGCTAAGACTGTAAAATAAAGAAAACACCCTACTTGCTTTTTAGATTTTGGGAAACATTCGAAAAGCACAGGTTTTTAACAAATCTTTGACACTTGGTTTAATTAATGAAGTGTTGGCAAAACACCAGAAAATTATCAGTCTGCCAGCAGATAGGCACTCACACTGGACCCATGCCTGCCATTAGCAAAGCTGGTTAGAGCTGCACTGAGATAATGCACTTCTGGAAATGCATAAATGGGCCATTTTGATCCCGAAACCACCTCTAAAGGCAATTAAAATGTTGACTAAGATTTTTGGCACTGTTTCATTCTTATGACCTACAGTAACTGGCAAACTCTTTTTCCAAGGCCCCATAGTCCTTCTGGATTCTCCAGGCTCAGGCATAATTCATAATTAATATTTCCTATGTGTTCAATACTATATATTAAATTAAGTCCATGTAATCTAGTTGTACCCTATTTCTAATCAGATTAATCCTTTGATATTCCAGAGGATAAACATATCTCCAAAGAAAAATAATTAAAATACTTGTTTCTGAAACAGTAATCTGAAGATTCTTCTTTCATTTTCAAAACATACTCTTAGAAGTGACATGTCCTTGCAATATGCACACTACATAGATTCCTATTCTTTACACAACAGTCTACCATGTCTTCAATGAACTTCTGCTCTGAATCGCTGCTGCCTTGCTCTTCCTGAAGCCTGTGGAAGTTCCATGTGCATATATGAAAGCAGAAT